ACAAAAAAAAAAAAGGAAGAAGGAAGATCAAATTTTTTTAGGTTTTTTTTTTTTTTTTTTTGGAGTCTGAACAGAAAAACCACATGTTTACAAACTTGCAGTTAGTTTGAAAAGTTCATATTGAATTTCTTTAAAGAAAGAAATGATTAAATGTATTTATTCATTTATTTTAACTAAAGTTTTTCTCATCACTCTGGACTCATTCTTCATACAGTCGACTGTGACATTTACTTTTATGACATTTATGTGACATTTACTTACACTATTTACATACTGAATGAGTCACTGAGGCAGTTATTTAGGACAAAGGAGTATAGTATATTCATGCTTCTGAGTGAAATGTCATGATAGACATGAGCAAAGGAAATATTTCAGTTTTCTGTCCTCTCTTTCCACATTGTGAGAAAGTCATTTTACATCCATCAGCTGCACTGTATTAAAGAACAGATCAGTCGGTTCTAGATTAGATTTGAAAATCAAATTTGATTCATGTGCAGCATGAACAAAGCCTTATTTACATGAAGGCTAATATGCTGATTAGCTTTGTGTGGTTAGCGTATTGTTGAGTACTGCAGGAGGAAGGTGCCCCTGCAGCGCCGTGATTTTATGACCATTTATACTAGCAGTGCTTAATTTGGAGACATTTATGTGAGGTGATTTCATATATGACTAATGATAGCCTGAAGGTGAGCTTAACAATCAGAGTGATGTTTCCTAGAAAGCCTGTTCAAGTAAACTCACCAGCATAACATACAACGTAATGTCTTTACTCATTAGCTCTCTAGCCGATTATGATTATTTGCTTATTTTGGTGACAATCAGTGCTAATCAGTCATGCTTTTGATTGTTGTTTGACATCATACATTGACTTTTACTAAAATTGGTAACACTTTATTTTACAGTGTCCTTGTTTCATGTTACAAAATTTATGTTATGCACATATACATCATTTAAAATGCAACTAACCCTAATCTTTACCCTAACACTATATTAATTGCATGCTGTTAATTAATTTTACTCAGTACATGTAATTACACTGTAACAAGGACATTAACATAAAATGTAAGCTAAAATTGTCATAGTGACGGTAGTTTGCTGCAAAGTAAATACAGTTTTTTAATAGCAAATATAGAAGTTTACTGAACTTATTATAGCTGCTATTTACTGTACAGTGTTTACTACAATATCAAATGTTACTAAAATTGTGACAGTTGCTGTACTGTAGTTTACAATGCTTTTTATTAAGTTTACTATAATGTATTTAACTAAAATGTAATTATGGAAACAACCACAATCATCGCAATTTAAGTACATTTTGCAACTATTGCTATTTTAGTCACTGTACATTGTTAAAATGATCTAAGATTCAGTAAACTACCATAACTTTGACACTTTTAGTAAATTTTAATGAATGCAAAAAGCTTACAGTAAACTTCAAAAACGATTGTAACTAAAGGCGCGTTTCCATTACCCTTCAAATTGTGCAAATTGAAATTGCGAATTGAAAATACGCCTAATGGAAACGCGTCAATTTCGCAAAAACTCCCATATATCGCAAAAAAGTTTTTACGCTCGCATGAGGTGGTTTTTCAGGCAGTGTGAAAAAGGAATCATTCAAACTGCAATGGAAACGGCTTTTTGAAAATTTGATACCGGCATATCCCTAATCACATGGCGTATGTAAAAAGTCATATGATCATTCTTCAATGTACTATAACCTCCAAGAAACACTTCATACGTGGCTGCTCTCTAGTATAAGGAGCTTTCCCTACCATTAATGCTTAGACAATTTAAACTGCACACGTCTGTGGTGCAGTGTGGCTCTGATAACGGCCACTGAAGCTGATTGCGGCCACAATGCTTGTGTTTATTCCAGCCGCGCCACACACGTTTCTGAAGCGGCTCTCTGTGCTGCTTCTGCAGCAGATGGCGCTAAACTGCAGAAATAATAATATTAATAATAATAATTAATTTAAATGCAGCCGTTACCCCAGAAACCCTCGGAAACGCTGTCATTTCGCAATACTTTTTAATCGACATTTATAAAATATCGCCAAAGTTTTGCGCAAATCTGTAATGGAAATGCGCCTTATGAGAATTAAAAAAAAAAAACTATTCCAGTTTTTGAAATTGTAGTAAAATGTGTGACTATTGCAACAATTTTAATCAAATTTGTAAACTACAGCAAATTTTTTTGAAATTTGCCAGCTTTGGTGGTTTACTTAAATGACCAAAAGTGTTCATTTTAATAATTTATAAAATGTATAAAGTTGACTAAAATTGCAATAATTGCAGTAATTTACAAAATGTAGTAAAATTGTGATCTTTGTACTTTATGCAGTTTATTAAGTTTACTAAAATAGATATAGTTGTGTGATTTTAAATTTAAATGTGTAACAGAAAAAGGACATCACTCTCACAGTAGAAATTATTATATATCCATGTATCGGTTGTTAAATTACTTTGACTTCAGCAGAGGTCACATGGACAGTTTTCTGAGGTCAGCTGTCCCTCTCATTGGGTGGCTCAGAGATGTAAACATTTAGACAGAAGCTCTCGGGTGATGGCATTTGCCACATTTGCTGCAGTACCTCTGCTGATACAAGAGAAAGAGACATTAGTGGGATAAAGACTGCGTGATGCAGACACATCATCCTGACGGACGGTCCGTTCTGACCTCTTCAGCAATGTTTTTCCAGTCCTAGACTTTTGGCCGGAGCATGACGGGGGGATGCAATATTGCTTGTTTGGAACACGATCCATTGTGAGAGCTGAGGGAAATTAAAGTAACTAAATCAAAATAAATCGATGTCCAAATGAGGTCAGCTTCTCGACACAAGTTCATGAGACAGTACCTAATGCTGGTGGGTTTGCTCTGCTTGGGGAGTCGTGGGATGAGGAGGGAGCGACTGAAATTGAATTTGCATTGTCCTTGGTTTTCTAATACATTAAAAGCCCGTCCTCAAGGCAGAGACCTTGTTCATCATTCCGCGTGTATGCCTTTCTTTTTTTATTATTATTGAATTACCAGTACAGTACATGCATCAATTAGACACCAAGGGAAACAGTGGGTCAGTCGCACACACACACACACACACACAGACACACACGCACACACACACACACACACACACACAGACACACACACACACACGCACATATGTATATTGGATCTTCCATCTAATTTACTCCAAAGTTTAATATGTAATTTTGTTATACATACAGATTTAGCAATTTGATGAAATGCTAATGTTATGTAGTTATTATTAGTTGTGGTTGCTTAAGGCACTATTAATAATATATATATTTTTTCAAAGCCTGTTAAACTAACCATTTAAGAAATATTCCGGTTCGGTTCAAACTCTGTCAACAGAATTTGTGGTATAATGTTGATTACCACTAAAAATGAATTTCAATGTATCCCCCGTTTTCTTTCTTTTCTTTTCAAAAATTGAGATATAATTTTACAGTGAGACACTTACAACGGAAGTAAAGGGGGTTTAAATTTATGGAGGGTTTGCAGAAATGTAAAGCTTATTACTGTATAAATTTATTGACATAAATTCTTTTGTTAAAACGTGTGTATTATTTATGCTTTAAAGTTTATCTTGTCAATTTTACAGTCATTTTAAAGAGATAGTTGACCCAAGAATTATTTAGGCTACTCACCTTCATGTTGTTTCAAACCTTCAAACTTTTTTCTTTTTGGAACATAAGAAAGATCATTTGAGAAATGTCTCAGTGGTATTTATTTACATTCAATAAAAGTAGAGGGTAACCAAAATGACTTAGTTATCAGCATTCTTCAAAATAATGTTTGTGATCTGCAGAAGAAAGAAAGGCATGCAGGTTTTGATCAACATGACGGTGAGCAAGTGATAACAGAATTTTCATTTTTGGGTGAACTATCTCTTTAAGGTTGTAGGTATTACATTAAAGTGGCAACATTGTTGGATATCATTTAGATATAAAATGTAAACAGAAAACGTTAATAAGAGATTTAAAGGGGTCCTATTACACTTTTTCACCTTTCCTCTTGTTTGTAAACATTCTCAGGGTCTTAATTGTGCAAAATTGACACCATCGTTAATATTGATAGCTGAGCAGATGAAGCTTGCGGTTATGGTAAGGGGCGTGGCATCTCTGGAACACGCTCTAAGCGGTTCACCAATCACAGCGCACTGGAACAGCTAACCAATCAGAGCACATTTCATATTTCGAAAGGAGGGGCTTCACTGAAAAAGGAACTAAACAGAGTGTTTAAGACAGACTGGTAAGAGAGGTGCTGCAATTATGTAAAATATGTGAAAACATGTGTTTTTGGAACAAACAAGAATGAAAGCCTAGTACACCCCAAAAACCAAATCAAGTCTTCATAATAGGACCCCTTTCATAAGAGATTGTTTTATTGTGGCTATTCTGTTGAAGCAGTGACTATTTTTAACACTTACCAGCTGGCTCCATTCACTTCTTTTGTCAGTGCCTCACAAATCTTAAAGAAAAATTATAATAATATTAATAATTTTTGTGGTAATCAACATTATGCCACAAGTGCTGTAGGTTGAGCTTAACTGGTATTGAACCTTGAATATTATTTCAAAATTTGACAGGTAATTTGTGCTACGGACATTATACCTCAAATCACATGGCTTGTTAAATAACTTATGATGGTAAATTAAAAAATTCCATAGAAACTGCTGTTTTGACTAACCACCTAGCAACGCCCTAGCAACTACACAGCTACACAAAACACCCTACTAATTGCATATCAACTCACTTGCATGGGCAGGCACTGCTCACATTGTCTTAAGAATGTTTTACATGAGCGCGAGTCACAATGAGTTTACATTTTTTCACATTTGTATAAATTGTATAAGCAGCGTCTTACGTGCTTATAAACTGTGCAAAGGAGCACAAAGAGACCCTTGTTTTGATTATTTATTTTTTTGGCTGCAATATTCCAGTATGATTTTCCAGATTCAGAGATCTTTTGGCTCTTTTGACCCTTTTCAGCTGCCACAGTAAACAGAGCACATGGATATCTTCGGCTCGACACCAAAATAGAAGGCCGATAGGAACTTTTTTTTCAACTACCAGTCTGACTGAATACGTGCATAACGTCTGCGCCGTTCCCCTCAAGCCCCTGACGCAAAACACAAAGCTTCTGAGAGAGTTTAATATGATTCAGATCAGGCACTGTGTCTTTCCTCTGTGCTGAAGACGATGTCAAACAAAGCCTGGCTGCCTGCCTTTGGCCAGACTCAGCAGCCCAAACAGCTTGTGATATTTTTCGGGAGGTGTTAAATGCCCCGTTTGGGGAATAAGAAAATATTTGGCATTGTTTCATATAGGCCTGCCGTCGAAAATGTCTGCCGACTGATGACAAGTCCCAGTGGGGAAAAAGAAAGCATTTGGGTTACAAAATAAACAACAATAAAACTAAATAAAAAGAAAACCGAGGCGAGTTGCACAAACTGACAGTGAGTTATTATAGTGGATGCTGTCAATAAAATGTGGGTCATAGATTTTGATTACATTGTATTAGTTTGACGTTTTCAACTTTCTTAAAAGAAGTAAAAGTAGTAGTCTAATAATTATTAAACTTCAAGACGTGACTTTCTTGCAGCTCAAACATGTTGAAAGCAAGAACAGATAAAATGTAAATGTGGACCTTGTTAAAGTCCCCATGAAATCAAAATTAAAGTTTTTTGGGTGTTAGTATCAATATGTTAGTCTTAAGGTTATCTATAAGGCAGTGTGCTCCAAAACAGTGAGTGTTTCTAAGCATTTCAGGGGACCTTTAATGTTAATGTAAGATTATGTGTTACGGACATGAACCATAATCGCATACTAATGCACTGTGCTAATACTTACAGTTTTAACGTGGTAGATGATAAAATGGGTGGACTTGCAATAAAGGAAGGACGTGAGCCATACTGTTTCATAGTTGGATCCTTTTGGTTACACTATATATTTCAATAGTCCACTTTAGACATTTTACTAACTACTAAGTAACTTTGCAACTACATGTCAACTAATTATCATCGCATTAATAGATTGTTAGGTTAGGGTTAGTAGAATAAGTTCACATGTAGTTACAAAATTACTTGTAGTCATTACAATGTCTGTTGGGGGACCATCAAAATAAAGTGTTAGCAGATATTAAGCTGGCAGTCTACAAATATTCTAATGACTGCTAATTGACATGTAGTTGTGAAGTTAGCAGAATGTCTAAAGTGGACTATACCCTTTTTTGACTCCAGACATTAAGCAGCCACCCAGAACACATTAGTAATCCCATTCGAACGAGTTTTGCACAGGCAAAGGCATTCACGTTTTCTTTATAAGTAACGCATGGAGTTCTGATGAATTTCTGTCATACAAAGACCTCACTTTCGGTTTCTTTTCTCTTTTAGGTATGACATCTGCACCTATAAGAACAAACCCTGCGGTACTCTCGGTAAGTACCTGAAATGTATCCTAAAACGAAATATATTTTGATTTAAAGGGTTAGTCCCAAAATGAAAATTCTGTCATCATTTATTCAACCTCATGTTGGTCCAAAGCCATAGGAAATTTGTTCATCTTCGGAACACAAATCAAGATATGAATCAAAATCTGAGAAGTTTCTGTCCCTCCATTGAAACTCTATTCACCCAAAATGTTGATACTTCAAAACATTCATAAAGAGATTGTAAAGTAAATGTATATGAATAGAGTGGTTTAATCCAAGAGTCACAATCACTTTATATGATGAACATTTAATTTAGGCTTTTAGTCACATATAAATCCTAGTGAAAAATAAATATACTAAAATGTATACTACAGATACATTTACACATTTATGTACTTAAAAAATAACCTGCAATTGTACTTTTGGTATACTAAACTGGTATACTTAAAGTCTACTAAAATTGAACAACTAATTTTGTTCTTAATACACTTTAATTGTGTGGATGTAGTGCTGAAGTCCAACTAAAGATGTACTGAAGTGTATATCTGATTGTGCTAAAGTGGAACTATTGCAAGTATACTTCAGGTACTTGCATTTAAAGACTGCTATTATTCAAAGATCATTCAATCCTCATCAATAGTGACATTAAAACACATTTTAGGCTTAATATTAAGAGATGTGCATTGTGCACAAGTAATACTCCAAATAAAGTTTAATTATAATTTTTATGTCAGTTAGTCTCGAGCAATATGGCAGTAAATATGTTAGTAGATTTTAACTATAACCTCACTGGCTCTTGCGGATCAAGCAAGTATGCTTGAGCTTCCATAATCAAATTTGAATTGAATTGGATTAAAAATATCTTCATTTGTCTTCCGAAAATGAACGAATTTCTGGAACTTCTGGAACGGCATGAGGGTGAGTAAATGATGACAGAATTTTCATTTTAGAGTGAACTCACTTTTCAAACGTATGTCACTGAATGGCAAATGCTACATGCTTCGTTAAACAAATAATTTGGTAAGATTATTGAGAAAGACTTCGCTGCCCTGTCTTTATAGAGCTCATGTTGAGCTCAAACATGGCTCAACGCCTGCCTGCCTCTACAGCCGCCGCTGTCTCTTGTTTCATTTCCAAACATTCCCACTCCTGTCTGCTACGGGACGGAGGTGTTTACCCCTCCCCTGGGCAAGCCAAAAAAGAAAACCAGTGAGGACAATTAGACTATACAATATATAACAGAGAACAACAGATAAAAGAAGAATTAATATGTTTAAAGAAGTCGGGATAACTGAGGAGAAAGCAAACACTGGTGTTTTCCCCCCCTTAAATGGTCTGCAGGCAGTGTCTTATCTGAACCAGCCCCCTCCAGGGCTGAACCGTATATCTTAGAAGTAATATTGTGACTCCAGGGGTGGTTTGACAGATTGACCGCATTCGTCACATTCCCCGGGTCCCTTTAATTGCCCTGGCATCTGCTCTGCTTCCTTGCTGCCCCCCTCCTCTTTCTCCACCTCCATCTCCACTTCAACACCCCCCACTCACCCAGAGGCATCATCGTGATCTCGGGTCAACGTGTTGCCCTCTGGGGGTCACCGGGTAATCGCAGAGTGGGGATAATACCAACGCGACCCTTGGCTTAGGAAAACAAGCCCCACCAATGAGCTTTCGACTCAGCCTGGGCCCACTAGCCCTTTTCCATCCTGTATCTCTTTCCTTTTTTACCCTTCTTGCCTCCAGTCGGTGTCTTATTAGCCATTGATTTGCATGTCCGCTCTTGTTTGGGCCTCTGGATAAGGAAGATAAAGAGGCCAGAAGTGCTTTGTTGGAGCGATGGTTCCCAAGCAGACACGAGCTTTCTTTGTATTCCATATTCTTGTGCAATATCTTTAATATTATTTTGCCCACAGGGAGGTCAGGTTTATACCTTTCCAATACTCTTTTGTTATATTATCAACTTTAAAGCAGTAGTTCAGCCTCGTAGCATTCCAAATCTGTATTACTGTGTTTTCCATGGATCACGGGTCAGTGACATGGTTATATATTTTTTTTGTTAGTTTGTTCGTTCTGTCTATTAATTTTTTTTCCGAAATGCAATTAATATATCTCTTTAAAAATGAGCAGGATTTCAATTTCTGAATTAAAATTCTTTTTATATTTCTGGAGAGGCATGAAGTCGAAAATGTCAAGGTGATAGTTCTAATATTAAAACGAAGGGGGAAAGCCTCATTAAAAGAATTAAATTCTTAAGTAGTCTGAAATAATCTTTTATTGTTGTTTCTTAGAAGAAGAAAAAAATAACTGCCTATTAATATTTGGGAAAACACCATGTGGTGTGACCAACAATGTCATGTGGTGCAACCAACATGCAGAAAACAATAACATAAAAAACATCCCCTGCAGACTCTTAAAATATCAGACAGTTTTACCTTTTTATAATTCATTATTTAAGGCAAGGTAAGTTCAGGTTTTAAAATGTCAGATGGTGCAACTCCACAAAATTAATGATATTTATGAATGAATAATTCATTGATCCACACATCATAAGATATTATAAGATAAGATAAGATATTGATCAAAAATCACCAAGCTGCTATTTTCCATATACAATGAAAGCATAGTCTTTAAATTTATGACACAAAAAGGACCATAAGAGTATAATGAACTGAGGCCATAAAACATATGGTATATATACTGAGTCATATATGAGGAAAGCTCTCAAATTCTATAAGCGGCAAGTGCATTTTCAACCTCGTGTGAAGACACGTACACTAGGTTTAATGTTGATGACACCAACTCCTATTAAATGTGAATTGTTAAATGTGACATACCAGTGAATACAGACATTCTTCAAAATATTTAAATTTACTTGTTCTTGTGCAGAACCCCCCCCACCCCCACCCAACAGGTAACTTATCCAAGACTCAATTGTTGAATTATGGACTTTAAATTAAAGGCTGAGGTTTCCTTTGTGCATTTGAGTTTGCAAAGATAAACTACCCTACCATGTGTCTGATCCAACCAGAGACTAGAGCAGGCTTCTTGGATGGTCCTCCATGCATCTAGCTTTAGGGTTTTGTGTTTTGCTCCCACCAATCATCAACAGATGTAATCGGCTGAGAATTGTTCTGCTCTCCCAGGCTGGATAGATGGGAAAAAGAACTAAGAGACACCTGGATTTTACAAAAGCCCTTTTCCCCACTTCATAGCTTCAAGGGAACCCCCTCCCCTTAACAGAAGCAGCTGACTTTGAGACTGTGAAGACTCAATCTTTGCTCCATCTTCTTCTTTGTCAAGAAGAAACATCTGATATTTTTGTAAGACATGAAATTAATCCTTTTTTAGGAGAATTAAAAGCATAAGTTGTTAAATGTCTGTTAGCTATCTTTTTGCTTCAGATGACATGGAATACAGTGTACAAGTGTACTGTAAAACTAAAAAACCCTGTGAAATAGGGCACAATGTACTGTATTAAAATGAAGGGATTTCTGTGTATAAATATATATATATATTTTTTACAGGTGTTTAACCTGTATTATGAATTTTGCACTTCATTACATTGTGTTTTATGGTTAACAGAATTGTCCATAAAATGAATAGTTAATTATCATTACATTTTCGTTTTTATTTATTTCTTTCTTTTACAGTGTATGGACTACTGTTCTGATACTTCCGCAAAAGAAAGTTTAATGTATCAAATCATTAATATAACAAAAATGCAAAGGAAATCCCAGAAAAGCATTTTGTAGTATTTTTTTAAATGGTAGCTCTTATGATTTTTTATTTTAAATAACTCAAATTCATTCAAATTTACATCGCTTAAATTTTATCCAGAAAATTAGCTTCTTGTGTGTATTTTTATGCTTATTGGAGTAGCATGTTGTTAGGTTATCAACCTCTAGCCAAACCTCAATTGTGAGTCGATTCTCCACTGTACTTTGCATAATGTTGAGTGTTGTTCGCTTGACTTTGTTGCTGTTGATGAATGTGTTGTTCTAAATTAGGCAGTGTACAGAAAGTTTTGTGAAAGTTTTGTGAGATCCAAGTGCTCTATGTCAATGCTGCCATACTGAGGTGGCTTCCAACAAAAGTTGCTACATAAAAACAGAGAGCAGATTTAATGTTTCCTTCATTCCATACCAATTAAATAACAGGCCTGTTTATTTATGGCAAGGAAAATGACAGTGCAACATAAAGCTTAAAAAAGTACAAACCTCTCAGAAAGGCAAGTCCCTGTAGACCGGGGACCAAAACACTGTCAGTAGTAAATTTCAGCTTATGTGGGTTTTATGTTAATACCCAAAAATTGTCAACTAAATCTTATTTGGAAGAAAACAAACATAACAGGATTAAGAAAACAGTGATTTCTTTCACTCTTTTTGCAACTCTGAAACCTTAAATAATAAAAACATCTATATTTTAGGGGCACAAAGTGATGTGTTTTCTTGAATTCCGAGCTCTGGTTTGAATTACTAGGTGGTCCCTTGTTACCAGATGTAGAATTTATAAATCTAACCCCCATGTCTAGACATTTTCCAGCTACAACATCAGTTGTTTTTTTATTTAATCGTCTAGCCGTCAGTGTTGACCCACCCCCTGGTGATTTAAAAAAACTTTCGCGTAAACTTTTCACCAGCTTCAAATTCAGTGGTGTCGAGGTTAATGTGAAGAATCTCATTTTATGGTGGTGACTCAGTGCAGCACTTCTACACCTTGACCTGACCTTATGTGTGTGTGTGTGTGTGTGTGTGTGCGATCAGGTTTGGCGTCCGTAGCCGGAATGTGTGAGCCAGAGAGGAGCTGCAGTATTAATGAAGATATAGGCCTTGGTTCAGCCTTCACTATTGCACATGAGATTGGACACAAGTAAGTATATTTTCTCTCTCTATTTGTCTTTGTGTTTCTGTCTGAATGAATAAATGTGAACAGTCTTATGGATATAGATTGTAATATGTTAATTGCAGTTAATTAGTGGTGTTTGCTAAGGCAGGCGTCACTATTACAATTTGAAACCTAAAGGGAGAGTACACCCAAAAAAGAAAAAAAAAAAAGAAAAGTCAATGGCTATGATGTCAATGAAGTCAGAAAGTATAAATGATGATGAAATTGTCAATTTTGGGTGAATTATCCCTTTAAATTGTCTTGTTTACAGTGAGTTTATACACTTTCTGGCACTTTTATGGGAAAATATTTGGGAGAAAAGAAAACAAGAATGTTGCAAGCCAGATTTGAACTCACTTTTCTTGTATGAGCACCATGACTCAATGTTTTGATAACATAATGAAGAAAAAAAACCTCTTTTGCTATTATTGCTCAAGAAAATCTTATTTTAACAAAACTGTAAATTCGAAAAGCCTTTATCTGCCAAATGTGGTGTTATGTGGTTCTCCGTGTTCACTCTGTCTCGAATCGCGCTCACGGAAAGCACTTGAGAAACAGTGTCTCTTCCGCAGCTCGGTACGCTTTAAACTCGCTTTTTTTTTTGTCTCGAGAAAGAGACTGTATGACAATGATGTTACATGATTTGACTGATTTTTACGTAGAAAGGGCGACAGCGCACCGCATTAAAAGAAATGAACATTCATGTTTTCATAACCACTGGCCAAATTCAAAAACGA